AATTTTTACCAGTTGGCTGGAAGTGATCCATGTTGCAGGTCAGAACCAAGAACAGGCATAATAAAGCTGAGATATTTCATTAATACAGGAATCCTCTCTTTACTCCTCGGGGAATGGCCTAAGATTAGAGATTCCTGATAGTGGGTGACTGAGACCCGATCCTTGCTGCATGCATTTGATGGCTAAGCTGTATCCAGATGATAGTATCTATGTAGGTTGTGTTCTTCAATACACTGCAAAGCAAAGCAAGCTTTGAAACTAAAAGGTAGAATGATAAAACAAACTGAATTTTCTGAGAGGAAAAGGGTGATCGACAAAGCAGTAGTTGTTAGATTCTTAAGATATATGGGTGTTTATAAGGAATGAGTTACTTATTGACTGGTACAGTTCCTTTTGAGGAAGACTTGAAAGCTGGTATAATTTGTTTATAAAAAGCTGCTGATGAATAGCCAGATTGAATCAAAGTCTGACCTCTATGTAATGTTTTTTTTAGTAAATTTCTATATGTACATCACATTACTTGGTTAATTAATTTCCCATATATAGTTATTTTTCCTGTAACAAGCACAATTTATACAGTTTTTTCTTTTTTTTTCTTTTTTTTTTTCTTTTTTTTTTTTTTTTTTTGAGAATCGAGAGTTCACTTGGTCTTACGTATTCATTTATTTAAGTCAGAAAGCAACAAAAATCCAGTATAACAAAATAAACATGAGTCTGTTTACTGAAAGTTAAGAGGGCATGCAAAAATGCGTGTATATGGATATTATTGTGTTGGTAAACAGAGATTTGTATCAGACAGATCTGTATTTACATAAAAATGCTTTGTTAATTGCTGCTTTTGGAATTAGTGTGTGACATCAAACTGACCAGTGCCTAGCATGGACAGAGTGGAGCATGAAAAGAAAAAAGAGCAGCTTTTTTAGTCATTGAGCCAATAAATATATTCACAGACACTTGCCCAGAGTTGGTCAAATGAAATAGCAATTTCAAAGGATTAAACAACATTTCATCTCTCTTCAGCATGGAGGTATCAACCTGAGACTGTCGCATGGTATCAAAAGCAAAAAAAAACAAAAACCCTTTTCCAAAATGTTCTGCATACATGAAAGAAAAAATACAGCCAAACATTTTCAGAGCCCCAGATGGTTTCCTGTATTGAAGGTCCTGAACAAGATGTGAATGACTTGCTGTAGAAATAGCTAAAGGGAAAGCTTGGTAGAGATCTTTGGATCTCCTTCCAGAGAATTGCCATGAAGAGGTCTTCAACCTCTTTACCTTCTGTTGTATGCCCATATAGAAATAAAACACCAAGAACTCATTGCACTTTGCATTAGACATACGTAAGGGAAAAGCAAATGAAAAATACCCTACTTCTTCACTATTTGGAAATTGGTGTAGTGGCAAATGAGGTAGTGGGCAAGGATGTGTCACCATGCAGTGTGAAGGACGTTCTGGTTGTGTTAGTCATGCTAGGAGTCTTTAGTGGTACAAATGCAGGTTACAATCACTAATGAGTTTATGCACTGACAGCCAGTAATTAAAGTACACTGATCATAATAATGCATCATTTTATCTACAAGCTGCAAAGTCTTTGATGAGGAGCTTGTTATATATTGCAAATCATCTGAAATTAAAAGCACAGCAAAAGCACTTCACTGTTGTCCCTTTCACCCAAGCCTCCAGCAAAGCCCTGCAGGGACAGAACACTGAACTAAATCTTAAAGAGTTGGATTCTGTATCCTCATTAAAAATACTGCCACTATTAAGTACAGTGGCATTATATAATATAATATATAAATATGGTGATTTGACAGTTTTAGAGTTACACTGATCAATTTTCATTTCAAATATCATAAACTTGCCATTGCCCACGGTCCCCAAAGATGTTTGAGAAAGAACCTTTTTTTAAAATTCCTGCATTTAATTGTAACTGATGATGCGTGTCAGTACCAGTCTCAGGAGGGCTTCCAGCTGCAGCTGCAGAAGAAATGAGAATTCCCTGTGTGACACTGATGGCTTCTGCACTATGAAATCTTCTCTTAATGGCATTGAAGTTAAAAGCAGCACACACCTTTCCCGTTGGATGTTTGGAGCAGGCATGCTAATGCCGAATCATGCTGAATGGGAGAAAAATGGTCTGGGTTATTCATTGGCATATTTTACAGAATGTATGTTTGCTTGCTTTAGATGGCAAACAGCTGTGCAGCTGCTTCAGCAAAAAAGAAAGTGTGGTTCTTACCTATGGCAAGTTGCTTTTCTAATGTTTTGCTGTTCGGTTAACACCAGCAAAACTGCGTATGATTCCAGCCCTGAAGAAGTTTTTTGTTATGTGCTGATAGTAGTAATATTTTGAGCTGAGCGGCAAAGCTCAACTCACAGGGGCTGCATCTCTGCCCTGTTCCAGCTTTTGTTTCTGCCATCCAAAAAGTTGATGAGTAACTTTGGATGCCTCCTGTGTAAAAAGAACTGGTGTGCAGCTCAGCAGGAAAAAGGCAATCTTCTATGAAAGTGGACTACAGCAGAAATATTTTGGTAAATGGGAGGAATATATTCTTCTGGCCAGTACAGACATTACTAGGCACGAACTGGTTGCAGAATTTCTGACAATGTCTTCTGCATCAAACCGAGGCCCAATTTATCTTAAATAATTTCATCTGCACTGCGTGCTGTGGCATTTAAGACATTCCACAGCAGGAGGTTCCAGTATAAACTGTAAGCAGTACTGCTGTCCTGCATAACTCAGGTCAGTGCCACTTAGCATTTGAATGACTGAAGGATACTTCTCTGGATGAGTTTTTATCTTTTTTTCTTTCTCACTCTTGCAAAAATTTCCACTGTATGTGGCTGGTAGATGCTGCATGGATGGAAATCTTTGTGTAGCGTATATGAAAGAAGTTTGCTTTAAATGTTTGTACTGAAAATTGTTAACATGAATCAATAGAAAAATGGAATTATCTATAAAATACAAAGATACAGAAAACATCTCATTATGTAGGATGCAAAAATTGTCCGTTCAGATGGGGTGATGATCTGTCTGATAACAGGTTGCCATCAGACAACAGTAACTCATGCACCAACTGAAAGGTGTGTTTTTGTGCTTAAAATGATCCTCCTTTATTTCTTTGTCCAGATCTTGATTTTGTTATTGTAGCTTTTCAGAACTTTGAGCAAGAGAAATTGTTGTTTTGGCTGATAAGAACTGTGCCACCTCTGTCTTTGGAGGAGAATGGAATAAGAGCAGCATTAGGAAAAAAATCAATGCTGCTTCCTGTCCTTTATGGCTCCTCAGAGGGACAGCTGTACAAAGCATCAGCTTCCACTATCCGTCTCCTAAGCAAGAGGCTGTTTGCTGTGTGCTTAATCACATTGGAAAAGTGGAAAATTTTAATAGTTGAAAGATATGAAGTTTTTACTCATTTGTGGGAGCTTAAGCTAATTTATGATGGGGATTTGTTCAGCAGGTTACTTGTGCAGATGTATTTTACAATATCTTGTGCTGGTTGAATTCAAGCTTTAATATTTTGAAATTGATTATTTCTTTTCTACTACAAAATCTCTTTCAAAAAAAGAACTTGTCATCAAATAAGAAAGCTTGAGTTTAGTAAGCAAGGAAAAAACCTGCTCTCATCAAGAAAGCCCTTGAAAATTCTATTTATCACAGTTATAATGAGAGCTCAATTTTCTAGGAAAATACGTCATAGCTTTATAAGAAATCAAACTGTAAGATGCAATTGTAGAGGGGAACTGATGCTGCAGCCTGTATTTTGGAGTATTGGACAAATACTGTGCTAAGCAAAATAAATATCGATAGCCTAAATGGGGAAGGAAATACTTATTATGATGGAATGAAGTATTGATTTTAAATGGTAATAAAGTAGAAAAAAGTATTTAACTACAAATGTACACTGATGTTTTTAGGTGGTGGCTTTTTGGTATTTTCTTTTGTTACTTTCTTTTTTTTTTTTTTTTTTTTTTTTAAGCCTTTTTCAAGGCTAAGAAGAATTTCAGTTCCATAAATGCTTTGAATTGGATGGAATTGTATAAATGATCAATTTTTCCATTGACTTTGGGTTAAGGGTAACTCCCAGCGTTAAGGATCTACCTCTTGTGTTTTTATTGGTTTTTGGTGATCAGACTGCATAAGGATGAAGTACCATTAGAGGCTGAGGAATATGTGCATGTGGGGAAGAAAACTGAAACTGTAACTTGCCCATTGAAAAGACTTAAAAATCTGTCTCAATGTAACGTGTGTATTTCCATTGGCACAATCTCTGTCTGCTACAGTTTTACAAATATGGCTGTATTTGTTTACTTTCAGCAAACCAAGAAAACAGAAACAGCGAAAAAACCCTTAAAATGAGAAAAGCGAGCTTGATAACAAGTTCCAAATGTTAATTCTTTACTTAATATGTTACATAATAACACTTAATACTGAAAAGGAGAAAGAAGTATACTACCAGTTATAATCTTTCCTTATGATGTGGGATGAGAAATTCCAATTTTGAGCTCTCTACCATATTATTTCAGTGGAAAGGAGCATACCTGGAGCAAGGAGACACCTTTAACTTTAAAACATACTGACTTGGGAAAATTCTGCATTGGACTTACATGTTTCTAGGGGGAAGGTTGTATGGTGTGTTTGCTTTTTTAAGGAGCTGGGTATTCTGAAAGCCTGATGGAGTATGTTCTTGGGAAGTCTGTGCACTAGAGGTTTGAAGTTGGGAAAGGCCAGTAGTGAGGCACAAATGGGAGCAACAAACCCACAGAAGGCTGTGTTTGGACTTATCAGGTGCTAAGGAAGGGGAGCTCTTGAAATGGAATATCTTTATGCACACACCAAGCAGTCAAGTTGTATGTTCTGGTCCTTGAGGACAACCAGACCTAATTTCTCCTTTGTCCTTCTTCTCTTTGTATGATTTTAATAACCAGCTGCATTGATAATGTGCAAGGACTGGTTGGTTTTTTTTATATAAGATACTTTTTTGTTTCTTTTAAAATAGAAAGATGAAAACTACAGAAGCCTACCACGAGATACTAGTAGCTGGTCTAACCAGTTTCAGAGAGACAATGCTCGTTCATCGTTAAGTGCCAGTCATCCCATGGTGGACAAGTGGCTGGAGAGGCAAGAACAGGTAATATATATGTATATATATATATTACTTTATCAATCTAATCTTCATGCTACTGCAAAATATTACAAAAAAAAAAAAAAAGAAAAAAAATATTCTTATGTGATATTGGCTCTCTAAGTGAGATTCAAGTACCAGAAATACACAGACTAAATTTGTAAGGGATTGTGTCTGCTTCCAAAATGCTGCATTAAGACTGAAAATAGACAGTTGTAAATTATTTCTTTTTTGAGTTACACACCCATTTACGTAGTATATGGAGTGCTGCTGTTCTTCACAACCAACACCAACAGAATTAATTTATTTACAGAGTATAATTTTGATAAATATTTTGCAGAAGAAAGTTAATAATATTACTACAAAGAAGCCAAATATGGATCAATTTTGACATTGTACTTTGAAATATTTTGTTGTTCATACCCTTGCAACATAGATTGATTATAAATTAGAAGAAACTGCTATCTTGTTTATTTAGTGTACATTTTTACCGCTCGTTATTTTGGAGTTTTTTGAAACATTGAGTAATTTTGACTCAATTTTTCTTTATTATTTTATTTGTTGATAGTCCTAGAAGGTGAAAGGTGAACTTATTGTTACATAACAGTCATATGATGTGTTTGTCTCAAATTTTTCAAGAAATGTCCTGAAAAGTACAATGGAAATGCATCTTTATTATGGAGACTGGAGGTATAACAGCAACTCCATATAAAGAATGGTGAATATAAGGGCTTTTTCCTTATGTTTCCTCCTTATACAATGTTGAGATTTTGCATTGAGCATAAACGTATAAGGTTTGTATTTTATAGCAGCAGGATGTGAAAACAGAATTTATTTTATACAGAAGGATCTCTGCCCTTGATCCTGGTGTTTTTCCCCCTGCACATTCTGTGGCAGGACCCATGGTGGCAATTTCATTGCTGTTTTTCCCTCAGAGTGGACACAGCTAGTGTGGGTGAGTTCAGCTGCTGCCTCTGCACTGAAAGGGGAAGGTCGGTGCCCTGAGTTGGAGGTGTCTCCCTGCTGGTGCTGTTTGATGTTTTCGAGGCACGCTTTAAGTATCATTAGATTTTCACTGTGGCAGTTAGCAAAGCTGTTGTCTCAGCAAAAGAGGTTGGATTAGGAATCTTAATAGTGATCTTCCTGTAGAATGTTGGATACATGAATATTTTAATACATGGGAATCCGTGTTAAAAGAAGTATTACGTTTTCTGCTGATTTTGGTCTCTGAATGGCTTACCTAGTTCAATTTATTCACAAATTAGGTAAATGGTAGTCTGAAAGTGTGTATGTTTTGCAGGCTAACTGGTTGAAATCTGAATTTGCAAATTTTATATTTTGTTTGAGTAAGTTTTTGGCTTCTGGTCTCTCTTTTGTTGCTTTCCGAAAGAGAGAGGAGGATCCATTCTTTCAATGTGTTCTTTTGAATTTGCCTGTCCCTTTGCCATTTCATGCCAGCAGGATAATTAATTAGGCTGAAAGCTGTTTAACAGGATATGAACAGGAGGTGAGGATGGGGTGATGCACAGCTCTGCAGAAAGAGAGGGAAAGGCCCAGTGGAGAGTGGAGGAAATGCAGAGAGAAATTCCCTTTGGTTTTGGGGTTTGATCTCTGGTATCTTTTTCAGTGTCCTCTGTGGGCTTTTTTTTTCTTTCCCCCCCCCCTCCCCCCCCCTTTCCCCCCCACTGGTTTGGCCTTTCATTTTTGTTTGCCTTTTGTTTAGTTTCGCAGAAATTGAATCTGGAAAGCCTGTTAATAACTGAACCAGAATTTTCAGAACACAATCAGGTTCTTGTTCTTTTAAAAAAACAAGTAACAAGTTGTGCGTGTATCCAGTGCCTGTGCTGGAAACTACAAATAGATGAGCTAATTGTGCCGGAGACAAAAGGCCAGACCTATCTTACTGACCCTGGCTTCAAAGCATATTACTCATTGAAAAATGTCTTTCAGTTTATAAGCTTTCTGTATTTAGGTTGTGCAAAGTGCTTTTCTTACAACATCGTTTGCCTTATCCTCTTTCCTTCTCCTAGCTAAAGCTCTGTATTCAACACCATAGAAATGCTGTCAGTGGAAATGGATAATCTGAGAGCAAATGCATCGAAAGGAGGGACTCAAACAAGGAGGTTGCAGTGTAGTTTGCTGACCTGGCAAAGTCGGTTCGTTTAGTGACTTCCAGCCCTATTCCTTTATGTATGGCACAGCATGTGCATAAGAAGTAGCAGACACAATGTCTGGCCAGAGGTGTTGGGCTGTGCTAAGAAACCAGTTGTGCAGCACTGACAGATTCCAAGAGTGGTGACAGTCCTTGTCCAACCTCCCTCCGTGGCTCTGCAGACTAGACAGCAAGTGCTACCATTTGTCTTGCAGGCTCCAGAGGCTTGTTGTTAGGAAAGGCTTTCTGGGCTTGGGCTGAATTGCTTCTCTCAAATTTTCCACACCTCCTCCTTTGAATATAAGGAGAAAAAAAAAAACAACAACTTCAGGATGATCATTGTCAGTTTCTACCATACATGAACATTTACTGGAATTGCACTTTGAGGAGGGAGGGTGTGATGTGCCGAAGTTATTTTTATGTGGGCAATGCCTCATTTCCAATAAGCAGAACCATAGAGCAAACGGTAATCTTGCACAGCCTGCTCTGCAGATGGAACTGCAAGACACCTCCTTTCTAGGAAATCATTATAGGCTGCTGTAGCAGGGACTAATCAAAGCACAGAATTAGAAATGTTCTAGTAGTTGTTAGAGAAATACTTCTGTAGATCTGTGTAAGTTTTAGTGCCTTAAATGGAAGAACGCTCAGAGCCTGTTAAAATTCCCTGAAGTAATTGCTTTTGCTCCTACCTATTGTGCTTTACTAGGGCTCTGCTAAATTGGAGTGATACATCAAAGAAGTGGAAAAGATTAATTCTGCCTCCTGCATCCTTTAAGACATACTGTTTGTGTATGCTGGTTAGCTACTTCTGCCTGAGGTTTGTTTCCAGTTTAGTTCCGGAGTTCTCAACTGTCCACAGGGCAAATTGATCAGTGTAATTCCTAGAAAGCTTTGACATTTCTCATGACCATGAAGTCAGTTATGTGAAATTGTTTGTACCCAAGAATCACCTTGCTACCACAAAATCAAATATCTAGAGACCACTTCAAAATAACTATAGAAAGGTAAGCCCTTTTTTTTTTTTTTTTTTTTTTTTTTTTGCTGCTTCACTCAGTAATTTCACTCATTCTGTTTTGTAGATCATTAAGTACTAGTGACAACATTTGTGAGCTTTAACTTAATTCTCAAATATTTTAGGAAAAGAAAAAGTTGTTTTTGTTCTTTGCCTTCCCCTCCACAATACTATTTTTTCTCCCACAGCAACCAAGCTTTGAGGAAAGACTTGAGATTTCTTATTTCCTTCCAAATGTATTCAACTACATGGTAATGTCACTTTCATTTGAGAAATCTATTTTTTCTTGAGCTCACCTAAAGACTTACTCAAGGTCTGATCAAATCTGGAATCATGCTGTTTTATAATAGAGAGAGATGAAAAGGGAACATAATAAAGACTTAAACTTTTCACCAATTTCTGAAGTTTAAGTATACAGAACGCTTTTCTTGTGTGGTCATTTTAGTTTCATTGATCAAATATTGAAACTGTTAGCAACCAGGAAAACTTGAACTGAAATAGTATATTCGGTGCTCTACTGCAAAAGCCTATTTTGCAGAAGGATTAAGAGCACCCTGCTGTTCTCAGTAGTGGGAAAAGGGGCAAGAACAGCAGTAAAGGGAAATTCTACAACTACCCTGCTTCATTTGAAAGCAGTTGATCAGATTTCCAAGTGTAAAGAGATTTGTTCAATTAAACTTGTACATAAATATACATGTATTTGATGTATATCTGTACATATGTGTACTTGCCAGTAAATGAGAGCAAGGCAGGAAATGAAGTGACATTTCATGCCTATTACTGAAGAATAGGTCTGATGCCTAAAATCCTTGTAGCTTCTAAGTAGCAACCAAAGACAGAGATGAAAGCAACTAAATTGAATCCCGAAGTGGGAAGAGAAGTGTTTACTACTGCTATCCTCTTGAGCAAAAATTTGCTGTGCAGAATACTCTCAGTAAGTTGTTTGTGACATCCATCCAGTGATCTTATGCAGTTTCTCAAGTTGCTTTTTCAACAATGAGATCAGACATTCAAATAGTATACGGTTTTATCTCCATCTACAGAGTATCTGCCTTCAGCTGTTATTTTCAGCAAAATAAGGCTTGCTTTTAATGTGATTGAATAGACTTTCTAAAAACATTCAGATGGTATAAATTAGTGCATTTCAGAACTATCTGTTGAAAAAGGAAAATCGGAGCTTTAGAGATAGATCGGTGCATTTGAATCATTAATTTTCTTTGGATTCTTATGCTCCATCTTAACCATGTTGTCCAATTTTTCATCAAAAGCCCTACTTCTATTTTGTGTTTTAGTACAAGGATAGAAGGTAGAAATGTAGGCTTTTTTTTTTCTTTTTAGTTCTGAATGTTATATAAGGTTATAGCTAATACATGTGATCATCTTTATTTTCACTCGTGTGCCTCTTTTGTGTTTGTCCTTGTCTGACAGCTGTGTTTTTATTTATTTATTTATTTATTTCTCCACTACTTCTGTAACTAGACAACATCAAAGTCTGCAATTTCAGTACTTCATGAACAGAAGATGGAGACGCTTGTGGGGCTGCAGGCTGTTCTGTGCCTCAAATTGTTCACATGTACAGATAGAAACTTCAGGAAAAATATCATCGTTAGGAATTCTGCTAATTTAAGACTTGGTAAAAGGATTAGTCAGATTTCAGTTTAACTCTCTTATCTGTTATTCTGTGCAATGCCAAGATGGTGTCTCCTTGCTTTCTTCCCTATCGAGTACATAATTTTGTAATTTGTCTCTTGTGATAACCTTAATGAATACAGAACAATAACAACAAATAAAATGTAAAACAGAAGCATGATTGTAAAGCTTCTCATGTTCAATAGAACACAC